ATAGACTCAGGGGCCGACGAAAGCCTTATGGACTGGGGCCTAGTCAATCAGCTAGAAATAAAGACTGTTCTGCTATCTCAACCTGTTAATGCCAGTGCCTTAGAAGGCCGCTTGTTCATATTGCACTGAGCCCATTCAGATTACTGTGAATAAGGACCATACAGAGAGCATGCAATTTCATATTTTTGAATCGGCTCAGCACCCGATTATTTTGGGGTTTCCATGGCTGAAGATCCACAATCTTCACATTGACTGGCGTTCAGGGAAAATTAAGGAATGGGGAGAGGATTATATTGGCAGGTGTAAACTTTCACAACCTGTTAATGCACCAACAGACTCCAATAGAATCATTATTGATCACCCTGACTATCCTGATCTATAGAAGGTACCTCCCTGTTACCATGATTTAAAGGAAGCGTTTAACAAGTCCAAAGCCCTGTCGCTACCTCCTCACCGAGATTTTGACTGTCCCATTGATCTCTTACCGGGAGCCCCCATTCCCAAGGGTAGACTTTACTCAATTTTGAGACCTGAGAGAGCAGCAATGGACGAATACATCTCCTCTTCACTCAAATCAGGGATTATCCGTCCTTCCTCTTCTCCAGCCGGAGCGGGATTTTTCTTTGTGGGGAAAGAAAGACGGGTCTCTGAGACCTTGCATAGACTAGAGTCCACTAAATGACATTACGGTGAAGAACCGCTATCCTCTGCCACTCATGTCATCTGCTTTTGAACTGCTTCAAACTGCCAAGATATTCACCAAGTTAGATTTAAGAAATGCATATCACTTGGTTAGAATAAGAAAAGGGGATGAGTGGAAGACAGGATTCAACACTCAGTCGTCACTATGAATACCTAGTAATGCTTTTTGGACTATGCAATGCACCGGCTGTGTTTCAAGCTTTTGTGAATGAGGTTTTGCGGGAATTTTTGAATATTTCAGTGTTTGTGTATCTGGATGATATTCTGATTTTCTCCCCAGACGCTAAATCTCATGTTAACCATGTCCTGTTCTGGTGGCCAGCCATGAGGAAGGATGTGGCGGAGTATGTAGCGGCTTGTCCGGTGTGTGCGTGTAATAAGACCTCGTCTCAAGTCAAGATGGGCTTGCTCCAGCCGCTGCTGATTCCCCAACGTCCTTGGTCACACATTTCTATGGATTTTGTGACAGGATTTCCTTCATCCAGAGGCAAGACTACGGTTCTAACAGTGGTGGATCGATTTTCAAAGATGGCAAACTGCATCCCATTGACCAAGCTTCCCTCTGCCAAAGTCACCGCAGAGGTCATGATGAATCACGTATTCAGGATCCATGGATCCGTAATTTCCGTTTTCTGGAAGGAGTTTAGTCGACTCATAGGTGCCACCGTCAGCTTGTCATCAGGATATCACCCTCAGTCAAATGGACAGTCGGAGCGTCTGAACCAAGAACTAGAGACTAGGCTACGTTGTCTCGTCTCCCGGAACCAGACCACCTGGAGTGACCACCTCACATGGGTCGAATTTTGCCCACAATACTCTTCCTACGAGGAAGAGGTGATGGTTCCATCGGCTCATGCCATGATCAGACGTTGTCGCCGAGTTTGGGCTGGTGCTCGCCAGTCTCTTCTCCGAAGTTTAGCTCGGATGAAGGCTGTTGCAGACGTCCATCGCAGGGTCGCTCCCTCCTACAGTCCAGGCCAAAAGGTTTGGCTTTCCACTAAGGACTTAACACTCCATGTTGCCTCAAAGAAACTGGCTCCGAGATTTGTGGGTCCTTTTCCGGTGTCCAGAGTCATCAACCCGGTGTCTGTACGCTTGCAACTCCCCCGGAATATGAGAGTGCATCCGACGTTTCACATCAGTAAAATCAAGCCGGTGTGTGAGAGCACACTTGTTCCCGCCTCCAAGCCCCCTCCACCACCCCAGTTATTTGAAGGGGTTGAGGTTTACAAGGTCTGTAAACTACTGAAGCTCCGTAATAGGGGGAGGGGGAAGCAATTCCTGGTAGACTGGAAGGGTTACGGTCCTGAGGCTAGGAGCTGGGTAGCTGCTTCATTTATCGTAGACAAGACTCTTATCCACGATTTTTACAATCAGCCTGGGCCATCAGGAGTCGGCCCTAGAGGGGGGGGGGTACTGTTGTGCACCGACAGAAATGTTAGAGAGGTTCATGTTGTTTTATGTTTGTTATCTCTCATTCCAGGCTTCCTGATTGTTTTCACCTGGCATCCTTCTGTGTCTCCTGTGCTAATCAGCGTCAGTCCCGCCCCTGATTGTTCACACCTGTTTCTCATTGTCATGTGGTTAAATGTCCCTGTTTCCTGCTTATGCAGTGTTCCTGAAATGTTAGTGTTCCTTCCAGTGTTACTTCCGTGCTTCGGGTAGAACTATAACAGTATCGATGTGTTACTGCTAATGTTATGTGCAACAAAGCCTCACATGTAAATCTGAAATCTCACAAAATTGTCATTATAATGACGAATGTATGTGTCATTAGTTCATGTCCTCTGGTTGGTTTAAAACAGATGTATTGAGTAAGATCAGTTTTTACCAACAATTATGTTAAACATGTTTTTGCCATTTGATCGTAAATAAAACAGCATATGTTCCATTTGAAATCTCTATTGCATTAGTCCATGATTGCTGTTCATCTGAGTAATGTAGAGCTGTTTGCGGGCCTGTTTCCCAGTGTTCCTCGTCAGTTCGTCTCTGCCATGGTCAGGTCTATGCTCTGTGCTCTGGAAAAGTTTTTGTTCCTCACTACGTGAGCGCTTTCATTTGGTTCTCTATTTTTGTCATCTCAAACTTGAGATCTGATAGTGACTTTTTTTGTTTTGTTATTGCTGTATTTTGGAAAAATAAAGTATATTACAAATACTTTACCTCTGTCTCTGCAATTGGGTCCTACATCGTAAGTGTCTGAGTTCGTAACAGATACAGCTGTGAAGGCTTTGGCTCAGTGGGTTGGTGTGCTGATATTTGGATACGCGGAGCGCTGGTTGTAATCAGCATGTCGTTTTGTCCTTGGGCAAGACAAGGCAAGCCCCCAAATTGCTCCTGTAGGGATGTATTGAGTGTATAAATCGCTTTGGATAAAAGCATCTAACAAGTGACATGTAATGTAACTACAGCACATACCCCACCCACATTAGATTTCCATTTAATTATGCTTCTCCCCAGGTCATTAGGACATGGTTTGAGGCCAACCATAATGTTTCTTTTTTGGGGGCGGCAGTAGCTCAATTGGCTTGGGAACCGGAGGGTGGCCGGTTCAAGGCCACAAACACACCAAAGTAGAGAGTACTTGGAGTGCCCACTGCTTCTTGTACTGGAACTATGGATAAATGCAGAGGTCTAATTTCACTGTGTGCTGTGCTGTGCAAAGTACGTGTGTGACAACTAAAGAGTGTCAGTCCTTTAATCCTCCCTTTCTATTCCTTCATGTGTCCTATGAGAGAATAAGGGAGCCGTTTTGCTCTGCACCGGACAGAGCTTACTGCCAGGGCTTATGCAGTGTTCCTGAAATGTTAGTGTTCCTTCCAGTGTTACTTCCGTGCTTCGGGTAGAACTATAACAGTATCGATGTGTTACTGCTAATGTTATGTGCAACAAAGCCTCACATGTAAATCTGAAATCTCACAAAATTGTCATTATAATGACGAATGTATGTGTCATTAGTTCATGTCCTCTGGTTGGTTTAAAACAGATGTATTGAGTAAGATCAGTTTTTACCAACAATTATGTTAAACATGTTTTTGCCATTTGATCGTAAATAAAACAGCATATGTTCCATTTGAAATCTCTATTGCATTAGTCCATGATTGCTGTTCATCTGAGTAATGTAGAGCTGTTTGCGGGCCCTAATGTTTATTATCGGTCCACGGTTATAAAAATATGCGCACTTCCATGTGCAGATAAAAATGTGATCAGTCAACTGTGTGTGTGTGTGTGTGTGGGTGTGTGAGTGCTGCTAAAATCAGATGAAATATTAATACCCAATGCCCCATGTTAGATAATTAAGTCCCAATGGCTTTTAGAAGGAGAGAAGTCAATGAGCAAGTGGTTACATTTTTCATTTAATTGTTACGGAGCTGGTGTATTTTTTTGGAACAGCAGCGTCACCTGATTGTTATTTATGATCTACGATTAAACAACGTTACATCCATTCACTTATGGCAGTACAAATCCCGCTAATTTAAAACTACTGCATATCAGTATAATTTGATTCATTATTATTTTAATGAATGAAGCCTATATACCAAATGACCTAGCCTGTATTTTTTATTATTTGAAATTCCCCTTGAACTTTCTGATGCTTTTAATCCAGGAAAGATGCCATGCAGCAGCTCTGGTGTGTTCCCACCTAAAACAATTCCCCGGGCGCTGCACACTAGCTGCCCACTGCTCCTAGTACTAGACTCCTGGTACTAGGATGGGTTAAATGCAGAGGCCACATTTCACTGTGTGCTGTGTGCTCTGTATGTGTGACCATTAAAGAAGGTTTCATCCCTCCCAATTATATTATATAAATGAAAAGGCTTCCATGTTTGCAGCATTGTCATTACTAGACATGAATTAATAATAGGGCCAGCTCCATACAACAACTGAGAAGCCTACATTACACATCCATCATTTTGCAGTGATTTATGAAGCAATGATGTCAATTTATTGAGGTTGAAACATTTCTGCAGATTGGATCGAAACAGACGATGTTGTATTTATTTATTTTAAGATCAACTGTCCTGTGGTTTCATTCACAAGTGTTTCTATTGCTTCCACTGAATATTGTCGTGTGTGTGTGTGTGTGTGTGTGTGTGTGTGTGTGTGTGTGTGTGTGTGTGTGTGTGTGTGTGTGTGTGTGTGTGTGTGTGTGTGTGTGTGTGTGTGTGTGTGTGTGTGTGTGTGTGTGTGTGTGTGTGTGTGTGTGTGTGTGTGTGTGTGTGTGTGTGTGTGTGTGTCCAGCTGTTATTCAGAGTTTTATGAGCGCGCCTCCACACAGCGCAGTCTTTACTCTTTAGCCGGTCGGATTCAGGCCGAGACGTCTCGTGCTGTCTATTTGGCACTTTGATTGATGTCCTCGTGGGGGGCAAAGGGGTTGGGGGGCAACAGTGGAGCGTTGCTTTCCTGCATACACACCGAAAAAACACACACACGCACACACATACACTCGGTAGATAACGACAGGAGCTCGTGCAGAATAAACCCAGACGTTGAGTCCTGGGATCGGCGCGTGGAGCAAACTCTGTTCCTCGCGCCGGAGCTGGGGACTCGCGCAGTGGAGGCCATGGATCACACCGGGATACCGGGGGCACATCTGCAGGAGCACCCGCACGCAGAGCCCATCAACTTTGGCATCGAGCAGATCCTCAGTATGGAGAGCTGCATGCTGAGCGCGAGGATGCACGAGCAGGACTATGGGCACGGGGCCTACAACAACAGCGGCGCGAACGGTGGCGGCTACATATACAGTAACACCGGATATAACGGCACCAGCAGTGCGTGCGGGATGGCTTCCCTCGGCTCGGCTTATCACATGAACATGGGCGTGAATTTGAACGGGCCTAACGTTACTTCTGCCGGGCATGGGGTCATCCGGGTCCCGGCACACCGACCCCTGAGCTGCGGGAGCTCTGCGGGCTCCGCGCCTTCGGGTGCCGGGAACATCAGCCTGAGCGCGCTCACCTTCCCCTGGATGGAGAGCAACCGGCGCTTCACCAAAGACAGGTTCACAGGTAGGCTAGATCAAATACAGCAAACAACATTATATAATACTCATTCATCTAAAATAAACTAATATAATAAATCCTGACCATAATATAACATAGAATAATAGAATACATTATAACAAAACAGGAGCTAACGAAATCAAATATTACATATTATAATACATTATAGAAAACAAATTTAACAAAATGAAATAAATAATTCTAAATTGTAGGCCTAAATATAAATAATTTGTTTAAGCTGTTTGTTCATTGCACTTTCATTTAACACAATCCATACAACTTTATATAATACATCAATAGAAAATCTCCCTGAATCGTCATAATTGGCCTGATTATGTGTAACGGAAGAATCTATTTTCAATCATTTTGGAAAACGTATTAAATAACATATACAATTAGATATCGACAATAATAAATCTTTAACTGGGAACGGAAGTACTTTTATTAGGCTATAGCCTAATGATAAAAATAATAATAATAATAATGTCGTTGTTATTGTCTGTTTGTGTTCTTTGTAAAAAATGTTTCTCTTTAGGCTACAGACCACTCTCATGTGTACGCATATATTTTTGCTTTCCATTTCTAAATATAATATTTCCATAAACAGCATTATCGAAATAATAATAATTGCAAAAAAGATTTTTGTTCAGAATAATAATAATAATTTAAAGACTGAGATAGACATTGTCACAATACTGGATTTCATGAATTAAATATTAATATATGTAGCCTAAATACATTATTTAAAACGTTTTTTGGGGCTTGACTCAAAAAACACCTTTTCTAATCAATTTCTCTGGATGATCCTCAAAGGTTTCGTTACAGTGTAAGAAATAAATGTATTAATACAAATAAGAAATTATACAATGCTCATGTTTCCTGAGCGCTTACAAAATGATTTAACACTTAAACATAACATATTGATTCTTATTTAAAAAGATATTCAGTGCTCTCTCCTCCTCCCCCCCCCTCTCTCATCCCCTCCTCTCATCCTCACTTCTCCTCCTCTCCTCCTCACCTCTCTTCCTGCCGCTCTGTCCTTCTGCCGGGTCAGTGTCCCTGTCCCCCCTTACTGTCACCCGTCGTGTAGGTCACCCGTACCAAAACAGGACCCCCCCAAAGAAGAAGAAGCCGCGGACGTCGTTTAGCCGGCTGCAGGTGTGTGAGCTGGAGAAGCGCTTCCACCGGCAGAAGTACCTGGCGTCCGCGGAGCGGGCGGCGCTGGCCAAAAGCCTGAAGATGACCGACGCTCAGGTCAAGACCTGGTTCCAGAACAGGCGCACCAAATGGAGGTGAGCTTTTGTTTCATTTCAAAGACTGTAATGAATACGTGTAGACCTCTACCCACTCTGTGGAGGGAGGGCCTCTTGTGGCTGTCGGTGCCCCTCCGGTGGCTTTAAAGCGCTCCAGGAGAGACCCTTCTTCATGAAGCATGGTGATCGGTTTGTGGAGGAGACTCTTGCTCTTTCTGCTATTCACTCACCAACAATGAGAGCAATGGGCAAACGCAGTGTTGGAGAGAAAACAAGCACAAATGAAAGGGCCCGAACAGAACATCCATCAAAAACGTTCTAACATGTTTATTAAACAACAACAATACCCATACAGCTTGTGTAAATTCATTCAAATTAAATGTGTAATTTTAGACCTTTTTGATAATATTTATAGATGATTGTATTTACGAATCCTTAGAGCTTAACGCTATACACATTATACACTATTAGCGTATTTTTTTCTGCAGAACATGGTATTATCCAGTTAATCATTTTATAGAGGAACTGAGCGGATTCATGCCTCTCACTGCTGGCTTGCACTCTAATCATCTGATATGTGACATGTGAATAATTACACTTATATTTTTACAACGTGATGAAGCCTTCTGCTTATTTTTCGGCTGTTCTTATCATTTTATTTTTCGTTGACAAGGACACAACTTTTGAATTGGTAATAATAATATAGGCTATCAAACTGAGAGGGCACTGCAGAAATATAACATTGTGCATAAAGATAATATTAAAGTAAAAAGATAATATTAGGAATATTAAAAAGCAAAAAAAGACAATATTAGGAATGTTAAGTGGAAATGATAATATTAGGAATATTAAACAGCAAGTAAAAATCATAATATTAAGCACATTAAACATCAAATAACAAGATAATATTTGGCATATTAAACAGCAAGTAAAAAGATAATATCAGGCATATTAAAAACACTTTAATACTCTTAATATGATTGCTGTTTAATATTCATAATGACTGGCTGGTTGATGGTCTTCTGAAAGGCTAAAATAATACTAGGCCTATTGTCTATATTGGCCTACAATATATAGACAATAATAAAACTATTTTAGTGGACTACAGGCAGTGGCGAACTGGCCATCGGGACGTTCGGGACGAATCCCGATGGGCCGGTGTAGGAGGTGTAGGTACCATATCTGCACCATGGATGTATAATAAGAACTGGATACAGCGTGGGAGGCGGGGCCTCATTCATTCCTATGAGAGTTGCTCATTAGCGCATGATGACAAAATGGCCCAACTTTTGAGAGAGCGAAACGTCACAGATTACCCAGCATGCCTGAGAAGTACCCGTATGTGCACTCATAGAGCATGCGCAACTTTAACCACGCCGCCCAAAAGGCTCGTTCACATTAAGCACGTGAATTTGCGTACACGTAACAGCACCGCGCGTTCATGACAGCATGGTACTGGATTTATATTAACGAGGCGGCAGTTAGCAGTTAGCAGCTAGCTAGTAAATTATGCTAAGTTACACATCAATCGTTATGTACTTTTATATTACGCTGACATCAGGATCTAGTGATATCCAAGCAACAGAGCTTCATTTAGCATGATACTTGTGTGGGTTGTACATGAAACCACTTGGTAATATATACAAATGTATATGTTGAAGCCTGTTATGATCAATTGTGAGTTAAAACTTTATCTAAAAAGTAAAGCTGATGATGGATTACTGTGGTGGAGTTCAAATAACAATAGCCTATTTCTTTTTGAAATGTGATGGAGTAAAAGGATAGTAACTGTGATTATTCATGTTAAGTAGCCCACAAGTAACTAAAACAATTGCAAGTGCAATAAGAAGCTACAGGAACGTTAATCTAACGTCGGTAATATTAACTTTATTTAATACAACATTTACGGTACAAGATTTACATCATACAGCCCATGTAGTATAATATTTTACAAATGATGAATTACAGCAAACATGTGCAATATATCCATTATTACAGCTCCGTGGGCTGGCAGTAAGGCGATATGGTCCGTTGTTATTGTGCATCCATGGGTAAAGAGAAACTCATGTAGTACTGAACACGTAACATGAACGTGCCGGGCGGCGCGGTCCCGTGGGTTAGATGCACGTTCATAATGCCGAGGGAAATAACTGTCAGAATAACGTTATTAGCAAATTTTTACAACTTGAGGACCGAATGTTTTTAATAAGGGCTATACAAACGTTCATACTGGGTAGTTTTATTTAGTTTAAAAAAAATTATCCAACGAGTTACAGACCACTCTTTCCCAATGTAAATCAATGGGAAAAAGTGTTTCCGGGCCCAGCAACCTAAAGGAAGTGTAGTACCGCCGTTTGACCAGCACGAATATTCTCATCAGACTCCGGCGCACTTCCTGGGGGCTTGATCTGCACGGCCTACCAGATTAGCACGGGGTCCGTTACATTTACTAATGACGTCACGCATTGGCTGTATGGCAACCCAAGAGGACATTTTACACGGCCAAATTCCGCAAAGAATATTAAAAAATAACAATCGACAGGGAATGTATGTTAGTGGAACTGTGTCAGGAAAGTGAAGTGTTAATTAAGTAATGTTATTGAAGAACTGAAATGCATAAAATTGAAAGTTAATATGTATCATATCCCTCTGAAATGGTATCTGGTGTTTCCATAGCAACTACAACTTCCTGTCAACAGCGTAAACTCCCACAGACAATACACGTTCATCCTCTGAACGACGTGTGAACTGTCTGCTCAAAAAACTGCAGGAACAGAACACAGATAAAAAAACATAACCCCCTTCACATCTCAACTATTGTAAATGTTACGGGTCCCCGATGTGACCACAGTAGCAGTGATGATGATAACTGTATTAAACAGGTGAAACAGGAGCTGTTGACAGGAAGTTGTTGTTGCTATGGAAACAACATGACGGTATCTGATATCATAAAGACGGAGAAAGTAAAGAATAAAGTTTATGTTTAAATGTTAGCATCCCCCGAAGAAGCACAAGCTCTTACGTTGAGTCTGGAGTTTCAATACATTCTAAATCATCAGTAAAGTCTACGACCATATTTCGGAGGGATATGATAGCCTACAAATTAACTTTCAATTTTATGCATTTCAGTTCTTCAATAACATTACTTAGGCCCATTCCCAAACCGCCCCCTACACCCTACACCCTACACCCTACCCCTACCCCTCCGTTCGCGCGTTCACGCGGAGGGTCCGCCATATTGAGGGCTGTTCCAAAGCAACGAGTGTGGAGCGGTGTGGAGGGGGAGTGGGCTATCAAGCCCTCAAAAAGCGAGTCTGCAGCGGTGCTGACTTGAGACCGGTCTCCACCTGACCGGAGTCACGCTGTGTGTGTCCATCAGGAAACAAGCTGTTAAAAAGTAGTTCCAGCAAACATCCACTGATAAACTGCGATGTTAACAACCTCATGATAACCTCATATGTTTTAACAGAGGCCCAATCCCAAACCACTCCCTCGACCCTACCCCTCCGTGACTGAGTGAACTCCATCTGTAGCCACACTCGCAGCTCAACGAGGCTCCCTCCTGTCAGATGGAGCGAGTAAATACAGCAGCAAGCTTTGGGACGGCCTCCCCTCTCTCCGGCAGAAACAGGAAATGCCGTAACTGTATGTAACAACGGTTTCAAATCAGCATCTCTTAGACAAAAAGTTTAAATGAATAACTCAAATAAAACTCCAAACATCTTTCATTGTGTTTCAAAGCTCTTTTAGTTTTAAACCTGATGTTTATAAGCTTCTTAGTTTTTGTAACAGTCTGTAAATATACACAACTTTATAATAAAATGCACACATTTACCTTTTTCTAGACTAAACACAGGTACGATCCTAAGTTAAAAACATATGAGGTCATCATGAGGTTGTTAACATCGCAGTTTATCAGTGGATGTTTGCTGGAACTACTTTTTAACAGCTTGTTTCCCGACGGACACACACAGCGTGACTCCAGTCAGGTAGAGACCGGTCTCAAGTCAGCATCGCTGCAGACTCGCTGTTTGAGGGCTTGATAGCCCACTCCCCCTCCACACCACTCCACACTCGTTGCTTTGGAACAGCCCTCAATATGGCGGACCCTCCGCGTGAACGCGCAAACGGAGGGGTAGGGTGTAGGGGGCGGTTTGGGAATGGGCCTTAGGATCATACCTGTGTTTAGTCTAGAAAAAGGTGTGCATTTTATTATAAACTTGTGTATATTTACAGACTGTTGCAAAAACTAAGAAGCTTATAAACATCAGGTTTAAAACTAAAAGAGCTTTGAAACACAATGAAAGATGTTTGGAGTTTTATTTGAGTTATTCATTTAAACTTTTTGTCTAAGAGAAGCTGATTTGAAACCGTTGTTACATACAGTTACGGTATTTCCTGTTTCTGCCGGAGAGAGGGGAGGCCGTCCCAAAGCTTGCTGCTGTATTTACTCGCTCCGTCTGACAGGAGGGAGCCTCGTTGAGCTGCGAGTGTGGCTACAGACGGAGTTCACTCCATCACGGAGGGGTAGGGTCGAGGGAGTGGTTTGGGATTGGGCCTTAATTATCACTCCACTTTCCTGACACAGTTCCATTAACATGCTAATCTGGTAGGCCGTGCAGATATGGTAGCCTACCTACACTGAAGTGGGCCGGTCGGACGATGTGGGCCGGTTGGATAAATCACTAGCACCCCCCCCCATATATAAAGATTAGGCCTATATATTATATTATAGATTATAGTAGGAGTATTAAGAGCATGTTTCTCTGCTGCAGGCGGCAGACGGCGGAGGAGCGCGAGGCGGAGCGGCAGCAGGCCAACCGGATCCTCGTGCAGCTGCAGCAAGAGGCCTTCCAGAAGACCATCACCCAGCCAGTGGCCCCGGACCCGCTGTGCCTACAGAACAGCTCTCTGTACGCCCTGCAGAACCTGCAACCGTGGACCGAGAACACCGCCAAGATCAACAGCGTGTCAGCCTGCGAGTAGACTGAGCCAGCGGCCGGGTCTTACCACGGATAGCGGGCAGAGACCCGGCCCGCAGCTGCCGAGGAGCTCCCCTTCTTGGCGGGTCTCTCCGCCACTCTGCAGCCTCTGCTGCTCCCAGGACAGACTTGCCTGCTTCGGCCCGCTTTGGCCTGCTAAGCCTTGCAGAGACCACACTTGACATTTTGGAAATATTTTGGAGACATCAAGAAGAACATTATGCTCCATAAAATTGCGCGAGATGACCAGGACATACTTAGGCCTACTTCAATTATGAGTTGTATTATATTTGTAGCTAACTGTAGGGACTTGATGTTTCATAATCAGCATATTTCCATCTGTGTTCATCAGCTGATCATTCAGAGGGCTTCACAGGCTACATTAAAAGACAAATCGTATAGACACAACTAGGCCACTTGACGCCTAATGTTGAAAATGTTACTACATTCTCCAACACCTCTCACGCTCATTTAAAACAAAAAGTTGTTTTCTTATTTCTCTCTGACACTGTTTGTGTGTGTGTTCGCGCGTTTCTGCATATTTGCGTGACTGTGTTGACGGTCATACATTTTGGACACTGAACATATTGTGTCTGCTGGGTTTGACAAAATACATGTTCATGTCCATGTCATGTTACATAGGCTACCCTATATTCTCACGAGCTACAGTAGAGAGAAATTTGAGCAACTCACAGATGCTGAATGAGCGATGTTTGGATCATCCACAGAAACACAAAGAGCCTCGCTGCATTAAATATGCCAGTAAGACACGTGACCCTTGTTCACAGCAGCACAGAGAGGACCAGCTAGCAAACACTATCAGACAGATCCTGCACATTCACATAACTTTCAACTTCATTTGGAAAAACGAGAGCATGAAGCTGTAAAGCAGAATATTGACTGTTGCGATGTGAGTCTGACACATGCACTAACAGAGGTATGTCCACGTGGAGCTCTGCATATCACCGAGTCAGCAGAGCTCGTTCCCCATGTGTGTAGAGACTGCTGTCTTGACTGCTGTTCCTCATGTACCATATTGTGTGTTTCATGGTGCACCTCAAACTTATCTGTTATTGTTTGCATTTGTACTCAGACGTCCCATTAAACATATCTTTTGATGCATGAGTTTTAACATTCTCTAATGAAAGCAAGACATTTAAACGTGTGTGTGTGTGTGTGTGTGTGTGTGTGTGTGTGTGGGTGATGCAGGGACGTGCACAGACATTTGGAGGGGCTATTGCTCTCAACTGGAAAAACTTGTTTTTAATGTAAAAGGTTCATAAAATAAAAACACAACACTGTCATTGCAAGTGACACTCAGTTGACTTTTATGTCCAACTGCTATTCGTCATTCAGGCACATTTTTGGTTTTACGGTCCATATCTCATTACAAATATTAGTAACTATTAAAGAAAAAATGGGGACAATCAAGTTTTAATGTAGTTTGACCTTTGTAACTGCTGTGCAGACATTCTGATAAAATAGGGCTTCTAACGTAACTAGGCTAATTAAGCCTACCTTAAATAAATTCACTAATTAATTAAACCAGTTCAATACGCATTATTCTTATCATTCTTATTGTTATCATTCTTTATGAGCGCAAAAACGGTAAGGAATCTAGTTACTTATTTATTTAGTATTCCATAACTTAATAACAGAGCTACTAAACTAAACTCAAACTAAAGTGGTAGAGACATGGCAGAAATCCTACAATAAAGCGGGACATTGAACTGTTCTCCGTGAGAGGGCGATCAAGAGAAGAGAGAGCGGCCCCGTTGAGGGAGTTTACGTAGCAGATGAAAAGACACAGAAAGACAGAAGACGAGACGCTACAATACTAATTGTGGGCTTATCATGTTGATTCGGCCACAATAGAAAACAAAAAAAACTCTTGCTCTCTCCAGAGGGGCAGGTCAGGCAAAAATGGCAAAAGGGCCGTTGCCCGGGCAACATTAGCCCGTACCTGTGCACGTCCCTGGTGTGATGTGATATTTTCCAGGAGTGCTTTCTAAAAGGTTAAGGTGAATTTCCTCATCAACTCAGAAGACCTCTTGGAATTCCTTTTTTTTCACACACACACACACACACACACACACACACACACACACACACAACACACACACACACACACACACACACACACACACACACACACACACACACACACACACACACACACACACACACACACACACACACACACACACACACACACACACACACACACACACACACACACACACACACACACACACACACACACACACACACACACACACACACACACACACACACACACACACACCCACACACACACACACACACACACACACACACACACACACACACACACACACACACACACACACCACACACACACACACACACACACAAAAATGACCATATAGGTCGATTGTTCAGCAGCTAAATACGACCCAGAGTCACGTTTTAAAGTGTAGCACCTCTAGTGGTCGTGTAAGAAACAACATGCTCCTGTCGATCGCAAACGCTCCGGAGGGTCGTTTATTCACAATTAACCCTCTCTGGAAAATCCTAAATTGTGGAATAGTTTGGCCATTAAAATGCTTTTTATTAGATTTCTAGCGAGAAGTGTATATTGTGCTTTTATAATCTACGTCCAGTGGATGTGTAGGATCTATAGTTTGAAAGATATTATGATTTGAGGTCTCACCAGGAGAACGTGTATATGGGGCAGCTTCCATGTAAAGTTAGCGTCAACCCACACGGGGTGAAAACAGTATTTCCTGTCTCGAAGTTTTCATAATAAAACCGGACATATTCCCCTCACTGTCAAATGATTACACAGTGATATCTGTATGGGCATAGATATGTCTCATCATTATTTGTGTGAACATAACAATTATTTGTGTGTAAATATGTGATTTGTAAATGTAAAACAACATCCACAAATGCATTTAAAAGATTTGCAAACTCACAAATACATTTGCAAGTGTAAAACGGATCTACAAATACGCTAAATATGTTCACAAATAAAAAAAAGATCTGTGAATATCTCTTTAACATTTACACCTTTCGATCAGGCATTTGTGAATCCATTTTGTATTTGTGGACCAAAAATGCGCTTGCGGATCTCAAATCTCTGTTCACGGATCTCAAATCTCTGTTCGCGGATCTCAAATCTCTGTTCGCGGATCGTCTTTTTACACACACGGAATTTTGAGACATATTTTCCGCCGGTCTCGGCTAAAATCTACTCATGTCACTCGGTTATTTTCGGAAACCACGTGATGGCCTGCTGATGACGACATTTCCGCATGATTTCAAAGTAAGAGCATGATGGTTTGTTTAATGCTCTGTTTTTGTATTATAATGAACAGCGGAACGTTGGATGTATTCAGGAATCTGTTGATTCCTCTGAGGTCCAAGATCGGGCAAAATCCGCCGACTTTCTTGCTCACGAGAAAGTACGCCAAGTAGAACCCCCTGGGCTAAGCAGAGGGTCTACTGGCTCAATTGCGTCCTTGGACAGAAGGACGGACAACTCTTGGGCCAGAGCTAGGGCCTCTGCCGGATCGCTGACGACTGTCATTTCGACCCAGCCGAAGGCTAGGGGCCGGAGCTCCGGTCCGTACCCCTGGGTTCAGGTGAAAACCACCCAAGGGCCGGAAGTACAGACAGCCCAGTAACTGAGCTGCTGCTGGGAAATCAGCCGACGACCGACCCCGGGACTTCAGGGCCCAGCCCCCCGGCCCCTGGAGCCCCTTGGGGGGCGCCGGTAAGGCTCTGGGGCACGAGGCCGCCTGGAAGGCGGGCGACCTGGGGCACGAAAGTCATTGGGAGGCGGTTGAGTGGGCCGCTGGGACCTCTGCAGACCACCCCTGTAATCCGGCGGCTGAGTGCGGCTGCTAGAGCGGCCCCTGGGCCTGCTAGGAGTGGGCACAGGTCTGCGAAGACCCGAAAGCTGCTGCCTGGTCTGCCTAGCTTGGGCAGCACGCTCCAGTGCCTCCAGGGCAGCTGACCCAAACAGCTCCCCTGGCTCGACTGGTACGCTACGGAGGACTCTCCTACATGCCTCCGTTAGTGGTGACTGGGCGAGCCAAACCTGGCGACGAGTCTGTACCAGAAAGGACATAACTCGTCCCAATTCCCTAGCCATTAGGGCAAAGGCCTGCAGTGATGCATCACTGAGGCCCAGCAAAGAAGGCTCGGCCGGAGCCTGATGCAGAGAGGTGGAGACAGCCAGCATTAGATGGGAGAGAGCGTTCCCGATACGACCCATGCGTGCCGCTGCGCCGTAGGCCCTACAGAGCAGCCCGTCTGCACTGAGGCCGAGGGCACCTGACCCTCAGGTACTCCTCTGAAGGAAGAATGGTGAGGGGGACAGGGGGCAGGGCTACGCCTGAGGAAGGCGCTAGCCTGAGCCAAGTCGGCCTGCGGAACCGGAATCTGCAAGTGCGCCAGGGCCGTACGAATAGTGGCCGCCATGGAGTCATCCTCCACGCCCTGCAGAGAACCCTGAGCAGAGGAGAGGGAAGCCTCCTCGAGCGGGACCTCGTCCTCCATCTCTTCATTGAAGAGTTTTAGCCGAAGCCATTAGCGACAAGGCATCCTCATACAGAGGTGCGTCAACCGAAGGAGGGACAGGCGGCATGCTAGCAGCCCCTATACCGGGCCCAGGCTGAAGGGCCAAGACGCGACTTCATCATGCCCATATTGGCAGCTAGCTGATCCACTTTAGAGGACAGCCTGTTTCTAGTCCTCCTATTGGGGGGAGCACCCATAGCCATCGCTCCCTCAAGTCGCCGGGGACGGCCGAACTGATCTGGAGGAAGATGTGACAAGGAGAGGTGTCTGTTGGCTGCTGCCAGACGCTCCACCTCAGCGATTCTAGCCACTCTGAGCGCCCGAGGCATGCAGCTACAGCTCATGCAGGCGTTTACCGTGAGAACCTCCCTCAGATGCTCGAATTTTGTCCCCACTGACCGTCAGAGGCGGCCGAGGCAAGAGGGGCAGCGGTCGTGGCCGTCCTCGGGCTCAGGAGAAGCCATACAGGCGCTACATGAATGAGCCATTCTGTAGGTAGCCAGATGCAGCGTAGCCGGGAGCGGGTGCGGGAACACAGCCTTCACCAGCTACCTGCTTAACGGAAAAACAAGGCAGTTCAGCGTCTACCAGGAGCGGGGGCGTGAACACTGCCTTCACTGGTTGAGTTAGAGACGAATGCCAGATGCAGCGTAACCGGGAGCGGGTGCGGGAACACAGCCTTCACCAGCTACCTGCTAAACGGGAAGAGTAGAGCGGTGCTGCTACTCGCCGAACAGAAAAAGGGATGTAGCTACACCCGCATTACCATCAGAGGGAGCGGGAGCGAGAGCACTGCCTTCACCTAGCTGGGTAAAATAAAGAAGCTTAACAAGTCTTAGCAAGACGTTAGCCGAGCGGCTGCTGCTAACGATCAAGCGAGATCAACTCAAATAACACACATGTTTAAGACGAGATAACTAGCTTCTAAAGAAGAGAACAGCACAGAGTCGTAGTTACAGCAGTAACCATGGCCAGTGCTCACACGGCATAGAATTGTAGTTACAGTAGTAACTATGGCCAGTACTTACACAGCTTAGAACCGTAGTTACAGTCGTAACTATGGCCAGTACTTACACATCATAGAGCCGTAGTTACAGTAGTAACTATGGCCAGTACTTACATGGCTTAGAACCGTAGTTACAGTAGTAACTATGGCCAGTACTTACACAGCATAGAGCCGTAGTTACGGTAATGACTATGGCCAGTATGTACACGGCTTGGAACCGTAGTTACAGTACTAACTATGGCCAGTACTTACACAGCTTAGAACCGTAGTTACAGTAGTAACTGTGGCCGGTGCCTAAAGTGTCAGCCAAACGGCTGGACATTAGATAATATAATATTGGGAGGATGAAATCCTCTTTAATGGCCACACATGCCGAGCACACAGCACACAGTGAAGATTGTTCTCTGCATATCATCCTAGTACTAGGAGCAGTAAATACAACAATATAGCGCTACTGCAATCAAAACCATGCGTTAGCGGGAGCGAGAGCACTGCCCTCACCGGCTGAGTTAAATAACCGTAGGCCATGGTTACAGTAGTAACCGCACATGCAGAGCACACAGCACACGCAGAGCACACAGCACACGCAGTGAAGATTGTTCTCTGCATATCATCCTAGTGCTAGGAGTCTAGTACTAGGAACAGTAATACAACAATATAGCGCTACTGCAATCAAAACCCTATGTTACCGGGAGCGAGAGCACTGCCCTCGCCGGCTGCATTAAAAAATTAAGCTTAACAGTATATGCAAGGTGTTAGTCAAGCGGCTGCTGCTAACAATCAAGCGACCAAGTCAGAACACAAATGTTAAGACCAGATAATTAGCTTCTATGGAATAGAAAGTACTTACCTTACTCTCTGCATCTAAACAAAAAACGGGCAAAATATGGCACCCTGGCTTTCCATACTAAATTGAATGAGACGCAGCCAAAGCTGGGACTCAAATACTATTGATAGCTCAGGCACAACGCCA